GGCAGCCGCTGTTCCACAGTCCACAGAGCAGGGGTTTTTACATCATTTAAACTTACTTAGGTTTCAAGAGCAAAAACAGGAATAAAAGAAGCAAAAAACAAACAGCAACAAAAGCAACTTCAGTTAGCGTGTGAGGGAGATAGTGTGGAGATTAGGAGTCAGGACCGACCACAGAGCCGGTGAAGGAAGGCATCTGGGCTGCTGAGCCCACGGGAATCAATCAGAGAGGCTGTCTGCTCAGCCGTGCACAATCTTCCTCTGCCTCCCTTCTTATTGGCAGGGTTCCGAATCCCTACAGTCTCCTGAGTCCGTGCGCTACAGTCCCATCCACACACAAGGACCGAAAGCCGGCTGTGACGGAGCCGGGGACAGGGGAGAGTCAGAAGGAGAAGTGGGGAGAAGGAGGATGACTATGAACCCAGCAGCCGCCGCAGACTGTGGCGCACATATGGCGGCCAGGGCTGGTTTCAAGGAGAGCCGCAACGCTCACGGACGAGGATGAACAAGCTGAAAGTGTCAATTGTTTCAGAAAAACAATTAAAACCAACTGAAAACTGGTTTGCTGAATTTTCTGAAATGGCAGAGGAGTGGCCAAAAAAAGGGGAGGGGGGGGGGAGGCGGTGGAGAGAACTAAAGATTTAGTTGCTGGACAGAGGGAACGGCACACATTGTAGTCCCAGCCCTCAAAAATGCAGAGGCAGGCAAACCGCGAGTTCAAGGCCAGCCTGTCCCACTTAAGGAAACGCCATCTCAATAAACGAACAAACAGAAACAAAGACATGCCAAAAATATACAGCTGCCTTTAAGGTACTCACAACTTAGTTGGAAAGACAGGCTACCCAAGGAGCGTTGACTGCAAGGGACTCATCTATGTTCAAAGTAGCTACTGTCCCCCCTTCTCCTCTGGGACTGATCATCTTAGAAATTTAACAAAACCCCCCTCTGGGCTGGGAAAGAGAGCTAACCCTGTCTTTCACATTCTCTCGTAAGACACCAAAGAGAACCCCGGACATCTCTAGGGTCCCTACCACAGGAGAGTGGCTGCATCAGGCTGCAGCCTAAAGTGTAGAGTCCCTGATGCTAATTTGTGGTGCTGCCTCCCGGGCCAAGGAGTTTTTATCAGCTTTTCCTGAGTCCGGCTTTCTGCAAAGTCACAGTTTGTTCCTATTAGCGATGAAGAAAAGAAAAAAAAAATTGACGAAAATGAGAAGGTGGAGCTCGAAGAGGACCCACAGTTAAAAATAATATTCAGATCACACCCGTCTCCGCTACATCCTGAGAACCTCCCACAAGCCATTCCAGATTTCTGTTATCAGCAGATTTGTGACTCCAGCAGCACTTAAATGCAATAAACATAATTAAATACAAGCTTCAAAGGGATAAAGAGACAGCCGCAAAGCCGCTGGAGCCCCCCCCCCCCCCCTTGGAGTATTTAAGTGTCATCTTCCCCGAATTTAATTTTACCTGCAAATTTTCAAGAGACTGTTTGGATTCCAAAATCGCATATTCTGTTTCAGACGAAAGCCGAGTAGTTGAGCGAATCGTATGTCAACTCATTTCTCTAGACATCAGTTACCAGAAACCCTTTTAATGAAAGCTCCAGGGCTGTCCATTATGCTGCTGAGGGGCCTGAGTCAGCAGATTCATTCCGATTTAAAAATTTAACTGGCCCTCATCCAACGGTTAATCACAAGCTAATGCACTTTCACAATCAAAGTCCTTCGCTTTGGCTGTCTAAAGGGGATGCTGGATTCAGCGTCCCAGGCAACACGGCATGAACCGGCTGTTTGTGGCTAAGCACCATAGTGTTGCTAGTACAAGTGTGTGTGTGTGTGTGTGAGTGTGTGTTTGTGAGTGTGTGAGTGTGTGTTTGTGAGTGTGTGTGTGTTTTCCTTGAAAGGTCTTCACAGTTATGAGCATTAATAAACCTCTGTGAGGTCAGGCTTGCCACACATGCTTTGCTCCCCTCTTCTGGAAACGGGACAAGATACAACCCCTTATAGGTCTCCTTGGGTTATCGACAGAGTTAACAATGGAGTGGGGTTGGGTAAGAGGCAGGGAAGTTCTCCAAAGAACCCAAACTCTTTCCTCTGAAAGAGCTTTAGAGTAAGACTGATTTTTATCCCAGAAGGCATGAAGTTGAATATTTAATTCCCTGCAGATAAATGGATCTCAGACGAGAGGACAATTACCCGTGTTGGGCCCTGGCACATTTAATGAGTTGAACCAGGTAGTTCCTGGATAAAGCACCATCAAGTTATGAGAAGGCTGGGTCCCTCCATTCAGCACCTGCGCCATTCGGGTGTTTGCGATAAAAACCAATTCTCTGTACAGGTGCAAACCCCAGAGGTCCACACTGCTTGCCCACTTGAGTCAAGGGCAGCTCCCATCACAAAGGAAAAAAAAAACCCTAAAGTGTCTTCTTCCGTAGAATCGCAATTGCTTGATTAAAGAAATGCTGTGTTTCTTGAGTGGTTTCTTTTGTTTCCATATTGAGCAAAGCCGACCTGTTCTATTAATTGCATAGAAAGTACTCTTTTGTTCCCTGGCTAATAATGACTTCCTTGTTAGAACCGAGTTCAGAAATTGACAGATCAGTCTATTTCACCTAACCCAGCGGATTCTTTATACTCGAGTGTCATAAGGAAGAGGTTTCCGTGTCTCATTGTTCAACGTCCCCTTGATGTGTAAGCTGAGAGCCTTAGAGCGCATAAAACATTTACACTCAAGAAGCACGGCTCTCATTAATAGACAGATATGTGGTAGTAGTGCAGCTGAGTTCAGCATGGGAGGGGACCGTGTGTGAATGACTTACAGGGAAAATTGCCCAAATTATCAGCGGATGCAAAATAATTATGCGGTTAAAAACTAGGGGCTTGTTTAAAAACAAAAAAGAGGCAAGGTTTAATCTGAAAATCTCACCCTTTCTCTTCATTTCTCTCCTGTAGTTTACCACAGGCGTTGGGGCTCCCAGGGCAGGAGCTAGCTGAGCAGACAGAACTCTAATTCTGCAGGAGATGGCTTGGGGACTCAGGAGAAAACATGCGTGATTCCAGAAGGATTGGAGGCTGGCTGCACTGAATAGACAGCTCAATCTTCTGAGGGTGTACTACGTACGTGTGTGTGTGTGTGTGTGTGTGTGTGTGTGTGTGTGTGTGTGTATGTGTGTGCGTGTACACCTCAGGTCACTTCTGATGCTGTAACTGAGTGTCAGAAACTGGCTGATTTATGAAGGAAGAGTCTGTTCTGCCCACAGGTTTAAAGGCTGGGTGACGTTGTTTGCTGCTGGGATAAAAAGTCCTGACAAAAGAACTTGGGAAGAGAGGGTTGTTTTGGCTCTGAGTCCATCAGAGCAGGGAAGCCATGGCGGTAGGAACTTGGGGCAGCTGGTTATACTGGGCCCGTCAAGGAAGGAGACAGCAAAGAATGCTAGTGTTAACCCTGTTTTCTGCTTTGTATGCAGTCTGGACCCAAGCTCAGAGAATGGAGCTGCCTACTTTCCCACGACAATTAGCCTAATCAAGGTAATTCCTTACAGGCACGCCCACAGGGCGATCTCTCAGGTGACTCCCTAAGCAGCACAGTAAGTAACCCAAGAGGCATAGTCTGGTGAGGGCTGTGTGCTGCCTTAGGGCATGGCAGCAGAGTAGAGGGACAAGGCAGTGTCTGTGAGCACAAAGTCCCACAGATAGACCCACCTTCTACAGCTCACCGCCACTGTCAAGTGTTAATCCATTCATGTGTTCTCAGTCCCCGGGAGCCAAACATCTCCTACAAATCCTACGACCTCTCAGTTCTGTGAATCTGGCCATCAAATGTCAACGAGATCCAGGGGCGAGACTAGCCATATTCAGCCATACATAATAAATGAGCTCCTTGGATATGACAATGTCATACGCAAACCTCCTCAGACATTTAGGAGACTACGTGAACTGTCCGAAGTATAGATCTCTAGACTACCCCACTTACAGGAAGCCCCACCACGGTGTGTAAGTGGCTAGGTTGGTTGGTAGTGGTTTCAGTAAGGCAAATGCTTTAGTTCCAAAATGTGACTAATTAGCGACACATCGCCCACAGAGTCCACTTCTAGAATGCCTGCTCTGAATTAGGTCTCTTGCTTTCTGAGCGTTGGACTTGGGTGGGCTAGGGTGAAGGACTCTAAGTGCAGGATTTGGTGGCTGCAGTTTATTTGGTCCAGCACCATCTGAAGATGTTCCTCTTCAGGATGAAAACAAAGCCAAAGCTGGAAGCCTTAGTTCGGGAGGTCTGGGAGAAGACAACCATCAGGAGACTGAAGCAATAGGAATTGAGAGAACCACACGCAGAGTCCAGATGGGAGCAGCCGTACAGCAGTTTTTTGTTTGTTTGTTTTAAATAAGGTATTTGCTGCCTCAGGAACAAACAGTACCTGAGCTGCAAAAGTGCAAAAGATACTGAGCTCAAGACACAAACACCATAGTTTATGTTCCCCCACGAGCTACTTTGTAGACGTTCCTACAAAATATAGGACAATCTCAAGGGAAATTGCTTTTTTTTTTTTTTTTTTTGGTTTTACGAGACAGGGTTTCTCTGTATTGTTTTGGAGGCTGTCGGTCCAGCCCGGCCTCGAACTCACAGAGATCCGCCTGTCTCTGCCTCTGCCTCTGGGAAATTGCTTTTAACACTTCATGGTAGCCTTCTCCATGTCTGCTCAGCCCTACCCCAACTCAACTTATACCCCTCACTAAGACCCCACTAGCACCGTTAACACCTCAGGTACAGAGAGGGACCCATGCTGGGTTAATCCGAGTGAAGCCCTCTCCACCTGACCTACCTTGGAGGTTGCACAGACCAACATATTTTCCTTTTGGCAGGTTGATTTGAATTTGCGCCTCTGTTGCCTGCAACCCACAGAGTCCTGAATAATACACAGGGCAATCTAGTTTTCATTTTCTTTTCCTCATACATATAAAGATGCACTCGTCATAAACACACACCAACATAATTGGTACTCATTCTGCTGTAATCAAATTGAAAAAGCGTCCCCCCCCCCACCGCATCCCGACCCCTTTGCTATAGGAGTTTGTTCCTCATAGGAAGCCTAGGGGTGGGCACACAGATCAAGAAACGATGGGGCCGTCGTCCCCACAGCCGCGGAACATCAGAGGCTAAAACCTTGATATCGAAGCAGGATTCAGATTCGCCTCTCTGGGTTCTCTTCTCACTGCTACAAGGGGAGAAGCATAACAGTAGGTGAAGGCATGTGCTCTCTCTGGTGCCTCTGCGGAGATGCTTGAAATGATGGGCAACAACTGGGGATACATGGGAGAAAACAGAATGATCCGTCAAGAAATGTCACGTCACGTGCTTCCTTTGTGAAAGCATTGCTGCGTGGTGTCTACAGATGGATAGAAGGTGGTCCGCCAGCCCGAAGAGGACCGCACTCTATCTGGGGAGATGAGACATGCACACAAACAGAAGTTACCCACATAAAGGAAGCCAATACCATACCAGTCCTGGTTGTGCCAGACAGGAAAAGCTGCACAAGTGTGAAAGCACTGTGCACCCAGCGCAAGCTGGTGTTTTATTAAGTATTGGTTGCAGGGAGACTTTGGCTAACTTTAGCCAAAGGAAGAACTTACTGGGGGGAGGGGCAACATCCTGAACTGACTAGAGACAGTGGGGGCTACAGAGGGGACTCGGTGGTTCAGAATCCGTAATGCACACAGAGGGCTCACGTTTAGTTCCCGACACCCACATAGGGCAGTTCACAAACTCTTATAACTCCAGCTTCAGGGGACCCAACACCCTCCTCCCTCACCTTCACTCAAGTGTATACACACACACACACACACACACACACATGCACACACACGCACACAAGCACGCATGCACGCACATGCCATAAAATAAAATACAATGTTTTTTTAAGAAGGGAGTTGAACAGATGAGCTTCAGAAGGAGGAAAGCAGAGAAGCTCCAAACAGCCTCCTTCACGCTCGTCATGGTGGCAGGCGTGGTGAATAAGGCCTGGGCTTGGTTGGGAGCCAGCGGAAGGTTAAATGGGACAAGGAGAAGGATGTGCAACCCATCTCCCCGCACCCCTTAAGCAGAGAGTCTGTACTTACTGTTCTTAGAGCCTGGGAAGAGATGCCTGTGATGGCTGACCAGCTATAACTGATGTGGGGACCAATGAGACCAGAGGGAGGCTTATGTATACTGGAGGGAAAACTGTTACTGCAGTGCCATCTCCGCCATAATGAAGAATTCTCCAGAACCATTGAAGAGCACCTGGGGGACCTTAACCACTTACGAGCCAAGAGCGCCGCTCAGAAACCAACTGTCTAGAAAGCCGTACTGCCCTGAGACGTGGGATTCAGCCATCAGTATGCCGGAGGAAACACTTGGCCTTCCGGCTTTATTGAGCACTATCGACAGGCCTGGGCATCCATGACAGTTAATCGCAAGGTTCCAATTAGCTCCTGTCTCCTAATGCCCTCCCACTGGGCTGTGCTGTTCAATGGGGGTCACATGTACACTCTTAGAGAGAGAAAACACCCCCAACGTTGCCCGGGGGTGGGGTGGAGGGTGTAATCAGGAAACAAGCGAGCATGAGTTAGGACACCGAGCTGTGTTTCATGGGAGAGGAAACATATTTCAATTTTTAAAAATAATATTTTAAAAGTCTTCATGGCCACGGGATGGGGAGGGAGTTAGGGAGTGGGTGCAGAAATGACAGTGTCATCCGCAGCACCCACAGATGGCTGTCTTCAGCTCAGCCAAGCAGGCGGCAGAAGAGTTGACGAGGACGCCCTGCAATCTTTCTAAGGGATTTCTTGTTACTAACAGGCTGTGCTGTTAGGAAAGAAGCCTTATTCTCCGGAATCTCGGACGCCGCCGGGGAAGAATCCCGGGAAGTGAAGCCTAGGAGGCTGCCCCCGTCTCCACTCTGGATGAAGCTGGTCAAGGCTTCATCCAGAGTCATCACAGGGTTGTTGTGGAGGGGGGGGGAGGGGGAGCCTAGCCCCCTGTGGCTCACAGCCTTTGTTGTTTGGGGTAATCTATCTTTAACCTTCTTCACCTCCAGGCTGTGACAGGTCCCATGGGAGAGGCGCCATGTGTCCAGCTCTGCTTGTGACAGTGGTGACCATCTTGTCCTCTTCTCGTTTGGCCGGGAAGGGCGGTAAGCCGGTTGGGGCCACAACAGTGAGGTCACAGTCTTCAGTTTTGTATCTCCTGGGTCTTCCACTGATGTCCTGTCAGAACCCTGATGATCAGAACTCAAGCAGAAAACAAAAGAGTGAGATTCCCGTCCCAGAGTCTATGACCTTTGACAAGGTCAGGGGTGTTAAGAGAAGCTTTTTCTTTGAGAGAAGCCTTCCCGCCCCCCCTGGTTCTAGAGCCGCATCAGTCCCAAATAAACACACAGGAGGCTATATTAATTATGAAGTTGTTGGCCTTTTCTTGTTTCTTACTGGCTAGTTCTGACTTAAGTAATTACCCCATAATTGTTAATCTAAGTATTTCTCTTACTGGAGAATAGTTCTGGGCTTCCTACCCCATGGCTGTTACATGTCGACTCTCTGTGTTTCTCCTTCCCAGAGTTCTCCTGGACTCCTAGTCCCACCTATCTAGATTCCTATTGGCTCAACAGTGCTTTATTGACAAAAGACTTCCCCAACACAGGGGTACCCACGAATGGTGTCTGCTACCTCAGAAACCATGCTTCACTCACATGTAGACCTCTCCCCCGCTGTCTCTCTGTGCTTTGTAAGGTTCTACAAGTGGTGGAGGAGGTTTTAATAGGATTAGGAGACAAAGATTCAGACAGGCTGAGTGGGTTCCTCAGTTTACATGGTTACTAAGTTGTGACGTCAAGGTTCCACCCTGACTCTCCACGCCCACTTTGGGTTCTGCAGGAGCAGACAAGTGGGGACTCCTTGGTTCTGCAAGGCTGGCTCGAGAGCCATGCAGGCTTTGGTTTGAGCCCCTGTACACCTCCTCTCATGGGAAAAGATTCACAGAGTCTTAAGTCTTCCTTTCACTAGCTATAAAATAACGGTAGGGCAGTTTTTGAGACCTCATTGAACAAAAGGGCCCATTGAACACGCTAAGGGTCAGCTTTTTAGGATAGAAATAAGCTACTTCAGCGAGCACTCTGTTTACCTACCTGGATTTGGTACAATAGATGGTCGCCCATAACTCTACGAGATCACATAGACAATGTCATGACCCAGTGCTGAACTGGAAATACTCTGTGCTCTGTGTTTTAAGTACTTGAAATGTATCATCTGTTACAAGGTCCTCTTGAACAGATTCTAATTTTTGGCAATATTTTCAGCAACATATATTATAAAATGTAAATTGGTATAATCCTCTTAGGAAGCATTTGGGAAATTTATATTAAGAATCAGAAAAAATGTTAATACTATTTGACTAAGTAATTCCGCTGGTGGGAAGTGATGTAAAATATCTAAGAAACCATACCCCCCTCACACATTCACATATATTTGTCACAGGAGCATTCAAAATGATATAGATAAGCATAATGCTTGCAATCTGTCTATCATCTATGGCTATTCTTGGTGGCAGAGAACACAAACAAGCCTAATTATGTTCAGTAAGGAAAAATCGTGGAAAGTCGTTCCTTAGTGAATGGCACAAAGAATCAGAACTAAGGTCTATCTAGCTTCAAGATTCTTGGTATTGAAGCCTCATGAGTGGCTTTCCTTTTGATTCAGGTCTTCAAGTGGCTCATGGAGCAGCTGGGAAATGTCCCCTGCAGTCTCACGTTTGACCCCGGCTGGTGGCGCGGCTCTGAAGGCTGTGAAGGATGCTTTAAGAGGCAAGCTTCTTCGAATGGAGTTCTCTGGGGGGGCGGGCCTTGGCGCTTCGTGGCCCGGCCCACATCCTATGTCCTCTCTGTTCTCGACTTCCCGACTGCACACGCTATGTGATGAGTCACCGCTCGCCTACCCCACACCATCCTGAGCTGTACATATCCTTAACTTTCTGTTTCGCATATATTTAGCCACGGCAACAAGAAAACTGATGAGTGCGCCCACCTTCTACCAACGCTTGAGTACTGTGGTGTGGCGCTCAAGACCCTTTAATCTAGTGACCACGGGTGACTGCTTGGTGTGAGTCTCCCTCTTGCCCCCGAGTAACTCAAAACGGGGAGTGGAAAATGCTGTGGCCAGTAGCTCTATACAGACCCCGGTGTAGGAGGAGATGACGTGTCCCCCACAGCAGGAGGTGTGGAGCAGATGTCCACCACCAGGGCAGGTGGCCACATTCATTTTCATGCATTGATTAGATAATATTTTATGGTAATAAACATGACAATTACAGAGACTATACTAGGAGGATTGTTTTGCCATTTTAAATAGAAAGGCAAGGTAGTAAAAAAACTTTTCTGAATGTACACTATATGCTCAGGAAACAAAGCATGATGGGAAAAGATGGAAGAAAACTACCCAAGTTTGTATGACTAGCTGTGCTGATCAATGCTTGCCCAGCAGAGTGCTTTCCCTCGTGGGCTGAAACCAGAGAGCGGCCCAGGAGTCAGTTCTGAAGGTGCCCCAGTTACCACAAGAAATGCAACCAGATAATGACAGGAGTTAGGACTGGAAAGATACTTGTCATCTAGTCTGATACACCAGGTCCCAAGGCCTAGGATGGGATAAACACTTGTCATCCAGTCTGATACGTCAGGTCGCAGGACCCGAACATAAAACGACACCCAAAGTCAAGGGTTGAGACTAAGTTGTGGAGGAGGAAGTTCCACAGTCACTGCCTTTGGATTGCCCAGATGTCCCCCTCCATGGGGACCTGGGTTATAGAAGAAGGCAGAAAGGAGAGAGCAGGGGAGAGGGAAAGTAGATTGATTCCTCCTTTGTGATCATTTGCTTTTTCATATGATTCTGGGAGTGTAGAACTACAAGGCAGAGTGTATGCTTATTGTGCACAAGACCCTTGCCTGAATCCCCTGCACTCACTACCCCAAAAGAACAGTTTTGAATTTTTGATTCATTCTATGCGCTTTCTCCTTAAAATGCCTGGTGCACAGTCAGAAAATCTTTATGTTTGGAATGTGAGAAAAGTCTATTAAATCCAACTGCTGTCGATAAAGGGGAACTATAAAAGCATTACTCGTTTGGTTTAGATATTACCCACCTTTCTCCAACTCCCAGAATGCTTTCTCTCTCTTCTATAACTTAACGATCCAAGAGGAAATCTTGCTTATACTCAGATGTAATATCTTCACGATTGGTTCCTCCCAGGTTCAGTAATCTTTTGTTTTTATAACCCTCCAAAGATTCAAGGATGAAAACATTGCCTACAGTCTTCTTTAAAATTTCCGCAATGTTTCCCTTGACAATATGAAGGCAGGGAAACTGTGAATAACAAATCACTGTACACCAAGAAAATGGACTCTTTGCAAAACAAAGTAAACTATAGGATTATATGATTGGGTGTGTGGTTAGGAACATAGCACCCTTCGGCATCTCTGTGTAGCTAAAATTAACATTAGTCCTAGCTTCAGGTTTTCCAGGAGGGAGGCAAAAGACAAAAAAAAAAAAAAAAAACCCCACAAAACCAAAAAATAACAACAAAAAACTGATCCATGCAGAAAATGCACACGTAATTGTACACAGGTTTCTGAGGAATTTGGAAAGGAAAAGAAAGCAGTTTCATGACTGCTCACCATCATATTTTAAGGTTTACCTTTTTCTCTTTAAAGATTTATTTTATTTTAGCTGTGTGCATGTCTGTGGGTAGGTATGTGAGCTTGAGTGTGAGTGCCCTCCTGGATCCCCTGGAACTGGAGTTAAAGACTGTGAACCACTTGCTATGCCTGTTAGAGCCTAGTTCTGCAAGAGCGGTACTCAGTCTTACTGCTAGTCATCCCCCAGCATCGTCTACACACCTTCCTTTTAGAGCAAGAGAAAGAAAACAATGACTTTACAGAAAAATTGTCAGCCCTATTGTGGAGAGCTCTTTGACACTTCCAGGGGAAAAGTGAGCCTCCAAAGTCAGGGATCTTCCTTCAATATAAAACCGTGCTCTCTATTCTCTGATATGTCCTTCAACCACAGCAGCTTCTCTGTTAACAAAACCCCTCAAAATATAAAGAGAATATCAGGACGCAGGTGCTAAGACAGAAGATAGTCCGCTGGTGCACAGAATCCGCCCCCCCCCTGCAAGACCGAGGGCATCTTGAGAAGAACCGCTCACGGCAATCTTTGGTGCTGATAGCCGTTCAAGGTGAAAGCTTAGTCTTGAAAAGCAAACTGAAAGGTTCCGAGGAAAACTAATTTGTTAGTTTAGGAGGAGGAAAAAGCCAGCACGTCACTGGAAATAACAGATACCGTGATTCACTGGTTACGTGATGTGTCCTGGACTTGAATACACAGATACTCCCCCATTGGGTTTTCGATTCAGCTTTGATACTAACTCTCCCAAAGAGAAGAGGGAAAACACAAGGAAATCTTTCTTTTCTTTTTTTCCTTCTTTTTAGCCTCCCCTCCACACATGTGGCAGTCCTCAGGTCGTCATATCTGAGCACTGACACTAGTGTATCTGCTTTGTTTTGAGGCATCACTGTAGTGGTGGATGACCTTGAACTCTTCCTGGTCCTTCACCTTCTGCCTAAGCGCTAGGGTTACAGACCACCACACCTGCCTTGTCTGGCACCCCGGATTCAACTCCTGCCTTTGGACAGTTAGGTGAACAGCCAATAGTTGAGCTACATTCCTAACCTCAAATTAGATTTATGCTTCTTTTCTCTTTTTTTTTTTTTCTATTTTTCCCCTCCCCCTTGTTGCTTGTGAGTTACAGCCATCTCTGCTGAAACAAACCAGCACACACACACACACACACACACACACACTTTTCATGATCCTCTTAGAAAAGGAATTCCCTAACCATTTTGAGCTATAAAACATGGTCTAGGTTTAACAAATGCCCCCACCTAAATAGTCAAAAGTTCAAGTATATTTAAATGACACAGCACTGCACTTCCAGTTCTAGAAGAAACAGCTCTTCACTCTCCCAACCCTCTGTTCTGCGGCAAGGAAGACCCTGGAGTCCAGGAAGGAGAATCTGCCTCTCTTTTCTTTTTATTTCCCTCTCTACCCCAGGGATTCTCTTCTTCCAGCCTCTCGCTGGAGGACAAGAGGAAGCTGAGAAGAAGGGAACCAACTGGACTTGCTCAAGGTCTGTATGGCGGGGGTGTGTTGTGTGTGTGTGTGTGTGTGTGTGTGTGTGTGTGTGTGTGTCATCTGGGTGTGCACACCCGCGCATGTACACACACACACAGACACACACACACACACACACACACACACACCAGTGAGGAGAGAGAGAGAGAGAGAGAGAGAGAGAGAGAGAGAGAGAGAGAGAGAGAGAGAGAGAGAGAGAGAACATAGTAGTTGTTAGACACACCCTTGGAAAGACAAGGCTCTTGGTTGTCCTGTTTCTGTCAGTGTGGGCAGCCCAGTAAGAGCTCATGTTTCCTGGTCTTCCTATCTCCTTTGCGTGACCGGCTTGTGTCACCAGACTTGGAATCGAGCTCCCGCCAAGAGGATGAGTCACGCAGTCACCACCGGTGTCAGGAGCAAAAGACACCCTAACCCGGGCCTCTCTGGGTTCAGGGACACCCTTTCGGAAAAAGGGACTTGCATCACGGCGCCGCTTTCCCTGTGCTCCTGTGTCCCTTCGTGGGACACTGGGGTCATTTGTTTCTGATGCCATTGCTGGGAATGCCGACCAATGACGTCTTGCTACTCTCAGTCAATGGTGACAACGGAATTCGATGAACAAACTGCAACTCATCAGAACAGGAAGGCAGGCTCCGGTGGTCTGCCCACTCCTCCTGTGCCGAGGGCACCTCCGCCTCCTGTCTGCCGCTGTGTAGAACGGCATCCCGGGCTGCAGAGACGGCTCGGCTGAGGACCCAGGCCCCAAGGGATCCAACACTGTCTCCTCAGGCACCAGATATGCAGGCACATGGCGCCCGTGCATGCATGCAGGCAAAACACTCATTCACATAAAACAAAACAAATAAATCATTTTTTTTAAAGCAAAGAGAAAACTGTATCCTCTTCAGGGCCCTCTTAGCCGAGACCAAAGTCAACACCCGTGATGTTTCTTTGTGCCGACAATCACAGACACCACTCTTCAGAGCGGTTAATCTCCTCCCATGCTGGGAAGGAGAAACTGGACCATTAAACAACAGTTTTCAAGCATTAGGCTGTCAGGACAGGCTTGTTGAGGTCCCTGTCCAGCTTGAGGGGATTGGTAGGCCTTCCCTGTGTGTGCCCACGGGGATAGCGTGGGATTCATTTACAGCACAGGAACCCAGCTCTACCAAAACATTTTTTACCTGGA